GTGATGCACATGTGCACCTTTCCTGGGGGGACAGGCCAGGCTGGGGCAAACCCAGTACTACAGGTGGGGGGCTGCGCTGGACCAAGGGAATCTGGGCCGAGGGTGTCCCAGCACCAGGGACGGAGGCTGAGCTGGGATGAGGGTGTCTGGGGGCTGTCCCAGCACCAGGGACGGAGGCTGAGCTGGACCGAGGGTGTCTGGGGGCTGTCCCAGCACCGGGGCGGGAGCTGCGCTGGGATGAGGGTGTCTGGGGGCTGTCCCAGCACCGGGGCGGGGGCTGCGCTGGGATGAGGGTGTCTGGGGGCTGTCCCAGCACCAGGGGCAGAGGCTGCGCTGGACCGAGGGTGTCTGGGGGCTGTCCCAGCACTGGGGCGGGGGCTACACTGGGATGAGGGTGTCTGGGGGCTGTCCCAGCACCGGGGCGGGGGCTGCGCTGGGATGAGGGTGTCTGGGGGCTGTCCCAGCACCAGGGGCGGAGGCTGCGCTGGACCGAGGGTGTCTGGGGGCTGTCCCAGCACCAGGGGCGGGGATGCCCTTTATTGAGCTGGTAGGAGTTTGCCAAGAAGCTGGGGGCAAACTCAGTGGCATGGTGGGGCCAGGCTGCACCAGGCTTTTCCAGGGGAATGCCAGTGCTGCAGGGCTGAGAAGAATCCTGGAGCCAAGGGTTGGTGTCTAACCGTGCTGCTACTTCCCTGCAGATCGCTGGAGCCCCTGGATACTGAAGGCCCTGCCCCTCCTGTGCTCAGCCCCTTCCTGCCACAAGTCCCCAGCAGTTCCATAGACCCTCCGGAGCACTTTCCTCTGCGGAAAACAGGTACGGCCATGCCCATGCTGGCTTCGTGCCCATGGGTGCAGGTGTGACAGCAGGGTGGACTCAGCCACCTTCCCAGCCTGACTTCCTCCTGGCCTTCGCTTCCACACACACTTAGGGCCTGTGTCCTGGCAGGGAGGTGAGACTGGCACTGGCTAGGGAGTGGGAGGGGGTTGGGCTGGCGCAAAGGTGTGCAGGTCTGAAGGTGACTTTGCGACAGCCCCAAGGGTCATGCCTGAGCCCAAGAGGCCAGTGTGGCAGCCGCTGTATCAATGCCATAGCGCAGGGAGACCACTAACGAACAGCTTTGTCTGCCCGCAGCATCTGAGCCCAACCTGAAGGTGCGGTACAAGCCCAAGAAGTCGGTGGACCGGCGTAAGAACCCACTGACCCGCAAGGAGAGTGCACCCCCTTCCCTGAAGAGGAGGCCAGCAGAGGCCATTGGTGAGTCTCTTGGGGCGACAGCAGGAACTTGGGGCTCCAGGGAGAGCAGCTGCTGCACACTAGGGCCCCGCATAAACCCTGCACCCGAGGCTCTGTGCAGGGGGTCACACATGCCAATGGAGCTGCAGGGGCGCTCAGTGCACAGGGTTGGTGCTGTCCCGTGGCAGCAATGCTCTTTAAGGGAGCCTCGTGCCAGGTGTGATGTGCTAATAGCCAGGCAGGGCCAGGTCCAGCCAGTGCGGAGGGCAATGCTGGAGCTGCGCTGGGCTGTTTCTCTGACCTGTCAGAGACTTGAGGGGTTAATGGGCCCAAAGCAGTCCCAGCAAACGATGCCAACCCAGGCCGCTGGCCATGGCTGCTCGACCCCTGCTGGGAGCAGCAGGACATACCCATGTGTGGCGCTGGACCTGGGGACGGGCGCTCTGCCCACTAGCACAGCTGGGCAGATGGTGGCAAACTCCTAGGACTGCCCCAAGATGGCGCACTCTGCCCTGTCTCAGGGCTGGGTGCAGAACCAGGGACAGTCCCTGCAGCGATGCCAACTGCCTCTGCCTGGTGCACTGCCAGGAGTATGTGCTCTCAGGGCATGAGCTGTCCTTGCCTGCCTACCTGGGCTCAGGCAGCTGCTCAGGGAGAGTGCTACGGCCAGATGGAATCGAGTGTCACCCGGCTGGCGAGGGCAGGGCAGGGCAAGGGCACTGTGCAGGAGCCAGGAGGTCAGCAGCGGGCTGGTGTAGCCATGAGGGGAAGCAGCACATGTGAGGGGACTAGGCTGTGTCCCTGTGAAAGGAAGCTGAGGTACCTGATGAGAGGGAGGGTACAGAGAAAACAATGTGCATGCAGCGGTGAAGGTGCCCGGCCCCCTTGTGCCCTTGGGTCCCTTCATCCTGCCACTCTCCTGTCTGACTTCTCTTCCCTGTGCAGACTCATCCCCCAGCAGTAGCAGCACCCCTGTGTCTGGCTGCAGCTCCCCCAACGACAGCCTCCCAGCGGAACATGGAGTCCCCGCCTCCGGGCCCAGCATGGCCCACGAGGTACGGAGCCTGCAGACCTGTCGAAGGGAGCCAGGAGCCCAGGACGTGCTGCCTTGGGTGGGGTCACTGGGGCATGCTGTCCCCAGGGAGAGCATGGGCTAATGGATTCCGCAGTTCTGTCCCCAGATCTCTCATGGGCCTGGAGCCAGGACCAGGCAACTTCCCCTCCCAGAATTCCCACTTCCTTGAAAACTACCAGCTAAGAATTCGTCCCAGCTTTCTGGGCCCTGCTACCCCCCTTCCCCCCAGCAGCTGGTGGCAACCCACCCAACCCTATTGCCCCCTGCTAGTCACCATCCACCCCACTGCTGCCTTGATGCCCTCCAGGTCCCCCTGCTGCTCCCTGTCTTGCACTGTGTCCCCCTGTTGCCTTCTGGTTGGTGGTGCTGTCTTCCCTGCTGGGGTCCTTGCTGCCCCACACAGCTGTACCATGTCTGGAGACTAATGTATTGTGTTTGGTGCAGGCGCCACTCGCCCAGCGCCTGATGATGCAGGAGAGCTCGCTGGCCCAGTTTGCCCTGCAGAGCACGGCCTCCCTTCCGGCCATCTCGCTGGGCCTGCCAGCTGCTGCCAGTGCCAGGGTAGGTAGCTGGGTCACAAGGGACTGCGGAATCCTGCTGAGGGCTCATGCAGGGCCGAGGGAGCCCAATCCCCCTCCTGAAGGCCAGGATCACAGCATGCGCGGGTCATTGAGCAGCAGTCCTGGATGTGATGCAGCACTTCATGGGTTTGCAGACCCACAGGGTCCCCCACACACCTTGGGACACAGAGCCAGGGGGGTCCCTTTCCTCTAGACTGTGCCAGTGCCCCTGTCAGGCCCTAGGACCCCTCCCAGGCATCCCAGTGTGCTCCTCTACCCCCGCCCTGGTACGCTGCTGATGGACTCCCTGTTCTCTCTGCAGGGCGACGCAGACCGCCGCTCCCTCTCTGGCTTGGCACACCGGGTGCCAGTGCTGAACGGGCCCGTCCTCTCGGGCACCCACTCATCCATGTTCATACCAGCTGGCTTGGAGCAGCATGAGCCCGGAGGGCCTCTGTCCCCTCGGCTTCAGCCTGTCATTATTCTTGAGTCCTCGGTCACCCACGCGCCACTTGTGGCAAGTACGTATTGCTCCCACTTCACCAAGGGTCCTGGGGCTGAGGCTGCAGTCCCAGCGCCAAGTGCAGCTCGGAGCCCTGCTGGCATGTACCTGAAAGGGGCTCTGGGGTCTCAGCAGATTTCCTACAGTGCTGTATGAGATCCCCCAGCATCCCTGAGAACTGGGCTGTGCTTAACAATCTCCCCTCTGACCAGCTGGCACATGAGCATTAAGGTAGCTAATGCTGCTCTGGAATTCCACATTGTTAGGTTTCAGAGTTAACACTCATGGAGATGCCTTGGGAAGTTGCTAGCTGTCAGGGGTTGCTTCAAACAGCCTGCACGCTCAGGCAGATGCCCCTGCGTAGCTCAGCTCCGAACCCTGCTCTCCAACTGCAGCCAAGGGCAGAGCTGACTTGTGAGGGAGAGGGGTGAGTCTTCCTCTACCGGCTCCCAATCTCCTCCCTCTGGGCTTCCCTCTCTATGGCTCACCCAACCCTTCTGCTCCAAGTGTGGAGCAGAGGGGGGAAAGCGGGTGAGGGGCAGCCAGAGGTCTCCCCCAGCCACTGCAGGCTGCACAATGGCAGGGCAGTGGGGGTGAGAAGGGTGGGAGCTGTGGCCAGCCCTAATGCGATTGCCCTCTGCTGCTCACCTCCCAGCCTGACACATGCTGCACTTGCGGCTGGCACCTGGCTGGATTTCCAGCTGGCCTACAGGTCAAGGCCTGCCCCTCCGCGCTCTGTGAGAACATGGAGCTCACCTCCTGCCCCCTCCCCCAGTGAGTCCCAGGGAGATTCCCCTCCCCCAGGGCACATCATGGAGATTCCCCCCTCAGCCCCCATTGAGAACCGTGCAGCTGCAGGTGCTGGGCATTAGCCAGTCTGTCCTTGGGAAGGGCTTGCCTATGGTGCCCCTGGAGCCAGTGGCATAGCCAGGTGGAGGGAACAGGGGGAGCGATCCCCAAAAAAGGCACCACCCGCTGCGGCGCTTTTACTCACCCGGTGGTGCTTTTACTGACGGGGCGGCGCTCCGGGTCTTCGGCGGCACCTCGGTGGCGGGACCTTCACTCGCTCCGCAGGTCTTCGGCGGCATTTCGGCGGCGGGTCCTTCAGTGCCGCCGAAGGCACCCGGAGCTAGTGAAGGGCCCGCCGCCAAAGTGCCGCAGAAGACCCGGAGCGCCGCCGGGTGAGTAAAAATTAAAAAGGCGCCACTTGTGCTCAGTGGGAGAGCAGCTGCTGCCCCTCTCCCCCCCTAGCTACGCTACTGCCTGGAGCATGGGTTCTCAGGGCTGTAGCGGGCCCAGCAGGGAGCCCCAGAGCTGACAAGATGGGAGAAAGGGGAACAACTGTACCATTCCTTCCCCCCCCTCCCCCCGCAAATTGTCTGTAAGGGCTGTATAAATAAGTGAAATGGGAGGGGGTGAACCCCAGCAGACACAATGATTTCTGTCTGTGGGGCTGCACGGAGCCCCAAAGGGCAGTGGGGGGGCCTGAGCTGCAGCACAGGGCAGGCCAGGGGTCACAGGCCAGGTTAGGGGATGATAATGTCACACCCTAAGCCCACGGCCATTCCTGAGCACCTGGTGCTGCACCCAGCTCCAGCCCTGCCTCACCAGTCTCTCTCCCCGCAGTGCCAGGCCTGGGGACGGTCCCGTTCCACTTCGCCCACTCACTCATCCCCACCGACCGGCTGTCGCTGGCAGGCCACCACAAACCGCTGGGGCGGACTCGCTCTGAGCCCCTGCCCCCCAACCCCAAGGCCATCCAGCAGCAACTGGCGTACCAGCAGCACCATGCTCAGTTCCTGGAGAGACTCAAACAGCAGACACACTTGGGCAAGGTAAGAGGCTAACGGGCATGCAGGCTGGGCAACACCACTGCCGGGGCAGGAGGGCGCCATGCTGGGCAGCACCTGGGGACTGAGGGCACTTCAGGTGCATGGTGAAGTAAGGCCCATGTGGCACTCAGCACCCAAGCTGCCAGGCCAGGGCACTGGGCGGCGACATTGCCCACAGACACAAGCAGCTGCTTTGCCCCCCCTCAGTCCTAGGACAGCGAGTGAGCTCCCTGGCATCTGCTGCTGCCAGTACAGCTGCCAGCTTAGCAGTGTTGGAGCCGCCCCATCCGGGGTACCCACATGTCACAATGCTCCTCTGTTACCTCCTGCACAGAGCACCCCCCCATCACCACCCAGGGTAACCTCAGCCCAAGCACGCAACACTTTCCCTCATCACCAACCCTGCACAGAGCTTCCCCTGTTACCCCAGATGGCATGTAGGGAGGGGTATCTCACACCACCCCACAGAGTGCCTCACATCTCCCCCCCCATCACAGAGTTCCTCACATCAACCTCTGAACACAGCTGTCCCCACCTGGCATTCCCCACCCCCGCACAGCTCCCCCCTCACCCCATCACACAGAGCTCCTCCCATCTGGGTTTCCCCATCCCCGCACAGCTCCCCCTTCACCCTGTCATACAGAGCTCCCACACACACACCTGGGGTTCCCCACCCCCGCACAGCTCCCCCATCACCCCATCACACAGAGCTCCCCCCCACCTGGGGTTCCCCACCCCCACATAGCTCCCCCCACCTGGGGTTCCCCACCCCCGCACAGCTCCCCCCATCAAACCCTCAGAGCTCCCTACCACCTGGGCTCTGCCCCCAGTCTCTCAAGAGTTCTGTGGCCTCCCTTGTCCTATTCCCATCTGGCTCCGTTGCTCACTCATAGACTTAAGACCAGAAGGGACCATCATGATCATCTAGTCTGACCTCCTGCACATTGCAGGCCACAGAACCTTGCCCACCCACTCCTGAAATAGACCCCTAACCTCTGGCTGAGTTACTGACATCCTCAAATCATGATTTAAAGCCTTCAAGTTACAGAGAATCCACCATTTACATTAGCTGAAACCTGCACATGACATGTGCCCCATGCTGCAGTGGAAGGCGAAACCCCCCCAGGGTCTCTGCCAATCTGACCCGGGGAAAAATTCCTTCCCAACCCCAAATATGGCAGTCGGACCCTCAGCATGTGGGCAATACCCAGCAGCCAAACACCTGGGAGAGAATTCTCCATAGTAACTCAGAGCCCTCCCCATCTAGGGTCACATCACTGGCCATTGGGGATATTTGCTGCTAGTAGTCGCAGATCAGGTACATGCCCTTGTAGACAGTCTCATTATCCCATCCCCTCCAGAAACTTACCATGTTCAGTCTTGAAGCCAGTTAGTTTTTTTGCCCCAACGGCTCCCCTTGGGAGGCTGTTCCAGAACTTCCCTCCTCTGATGGTTAGAAACCTTCATCTAATTTCCAACCTAAACTTGTTGATGGCCAATTTATAGCCATTGGCACTTTAATAACTCCTCTCCCTCCCTGGTATTTATCCCTCTGATGTATTTATAAAGAGCAATATCTCCCCTCAGCCATCGTTTGGGGAGGCTGAACAAGCCAAGCCCTTTGAGTCTCCTCTCACGAGGTAGATTTTCCATTCCTCGAATCATCCTTGTAGCCCTTCTCTGCACCTGTTCCAGTTTGAATTCATCTTTCTTAAACATGGGAGACCAGAACTACACACAGTATTCCAGATGAGGTCTCCCTGTTCCCTCTAATTTTTTCCACCCATGTGTGGAATGAATTTTTTCATTTTTTCATTCATTCACGAAATTCATGTGGTGGGGGTGGGGCCGAGGGGTTCAGAGTGTGGGAGGGGGCTCAGGGCTTGGGCAGAGGCTTGGGGTGAAGGGGTGTGAAGGCTTTGGCTGGGGGTGTGGGCTCTGGGGTGGGGCTGGGAATGAGGGGCTCAGGGCTGGGGTAGAGGGTTGGGGTGCAGGGGTGTGAGGGCTCCGGCTGTGGGTGCGGGCTCTGGGGTGGGGCCAGGGGGGTTTTGGGTGCAGGAGGGTGCTCCGTGGCTACAGCGGGGAGAGAGGACTCCTCCCAGCCCTCTCGCCCCACAGCAGCACCTGGGCTGGACGGGAGAGGCGCCTCTCCCCGCCACGGGAGCTATGGGGCTGGGGCTGCAGGATAGGCACCCCTCCCCCGGCCCCAGCAGGTCTGGGTCGGGCCGGGGCACGCCGCCCCAGCTGTGTCTGGGTCCGGGCCACTCTGGGGTCGGGCCGCGCCGCCCCAGCCACTCCTGGGCCACACCGGCCGCGGCTGGGGCTGCTCCAGCCGCACTGCCCCAGCAGGTCCGGGCCTCAGGTTGCGTTGGGGCTGTGGGAGGGGCACCCTGGCCGCAGCAGGTTGGGGGCCGGGGGAGGGGCAGAGCAGGTCCCTGAGCGGGTTCTCTGAGCACCTGTGCAGCGCTAAATAGGCTTCTGCAGGACCGCGCAGCTTACAGGGAACTTAGGGTCTCACCAGTGCCTTGTATAATGGTATTAACACCTCCTTATCTCTACTGGAAATACCTCGCCTGATGCATCCCAAGACCGCATTAGATTTTTTCATAGCCATATCACATTGGTGGCTCATAGTCATCCTGTGATCAACCAATATGCCCAGGTCTTTCTCCTCCTGTGTCGCTTCCAACTGATACTTCCCCAACTTATAGCAAAAATTCTTATTGTTAGACCATAAATGCATGACCTTGCATTTTGCACTATTCAATTTCACTCCAGTTTTCAAGGTCATCCAGATCTTCTTGTATAATATTCTGGTCCTCCTCCATATTGGCAATAGCTCCCAGCTTTGTGTCATATGCAGATTTTATTAGCACACTCCCCCTTTTTGTTCCAATATCATTAATACATTTTTTTAATAAGATTGGTTCCAAGACTGATCTTTAGGAACTCCACTAGTAACCTCCCTCCAGCCTGACAGTTCACTTTTCAGTATGACCCACTGTAGTCTCCCCTTTCACCAGTTCCTTATCCACGTTTCAGTTCTCATATTAATCCCCACCTTCTCCAATTTAACTAATAATTGTGGAACTGTATCAAATGCCTTACTGAAATCCAGGTAGATTAGATCTGTTGCATTTCCTTTGTCGAAAAAATCAGTTCTCTTCTCAAAGAAAGAGATCGGGTTGGTCTGGCACAATCTATTTTGTAAAACCATGTGGTATTTTATCCCAATTACCATTTATCTCTATGTCTTTAACTACTTCCTCTTTCAAAATTTGTTCTAAGACCTTACTGAGGTGAAACTAACAGGCCTGTAGTTTCCTGGATCACTTTTTTCTCTTTCTTAAAAACTAAGAACTATATTAACAATTCTCCAATCATAGGGTACGACCCCTGAGTTTACAGATTCATTAAAAATCCTTGCTATTGGGTTTGCAATTTCATGTGCCAGTTCCTTTAATATTCTTGGATGGAGATTATCTAGGCCCCTCGATTTAGTTCCATTAAGCTGTTTAAATTTGACTTCCACCTCGGATATGGTAATTTCTGTTTCCATATTGTCGTTCCCATTAGCCACCTTGCCACTGCCCCTAAGCTCCTCGTTACCCTTATTAAAATCGGAGGCAAAGCATTCGTTTAGGCCTTGGGTCGTGCCTAGATTATCTTTAATCTCCACCCCATCTGCAGTGCTTAGCAGCTCCACTTCTTCTTTCCTTGTTTTCTTTTTATTTATATGGCTATAGAACCTTTTACTGTTGGCTTTAATTTCCTTTCCAAGGTCCAGCTCTGCTTGACTTTCGGCAGTTCTCACTTTCCCCCTACGCTTTCTGCCCTCCAAGAGGTCACTTTCCCTGCTGAACCTTCCCACCTTCCCTTCCTTGTAGGCTTTCTGCTTTCTCTTAATCACCTGCTTCAAGTACTTGGACATCCAGCTTGGTCTTCAACCCTTCCCCACAATTTCCCCCCCCCGTCCTTGGGATGCAGGCTTCAAAGAGCTTCAGAACTTTGACTTAAAGTAATTCTAGGCCTCCTCCACATTCAGATCCTTGAGTTCTTCAGTCAATCCCACTTCCCTAACTAATTCCCTTCATTTTTTAAAGTTTGCCCTTTTGAAATCAAGGCCCTTTGTTTCAGTCCTATTTTTGTTTATCCTTCCATTTAGTTTAAAGTGAATTAGCTCATGATCACTCAAACCACGGTTGTCTCCTGCAACCAGCTCTTCTATTCCCCTCACTACTCACCAATACCAAATCTAAAATGGCATCACCTCTTGTAGGCTCAGCGACTGTTGGGTGAAGAAATCTGTCAGCTATCACATCCAGGAAAGTCTGGGCCCTGCTGTTATTAGTAGCACTTGTCCTCCAACCTATCTCTGGGAAGTTAACATCTCCCATCATCACACAATTCCCACTAGTATTTATTTCATTAAATAGATTAAAGAGATCTCTGCCCATATCCAGATCAGATGGTGGGGGTCTGTCCCAGGGGAGCCTCTGGTAGCTTTCTTCCCCAAAGTGATTTTGACCCATCGCCCTGCAGCTAATGACCAAGTCCAGTGAGAAGCCTCGTCTGCGGCAGATCCCCTCCTCGGAGGACATGGAGGCCAAGGGAGGGCTCCCAGAGGGAGGGAGTGAGCGCAGTGACCAGCCTAGGGGCCGAGTGGAGCTCACACGGCCAGGGGTCAGCACAAAGGAGCCTGAGCGGAGCCCGAAGCTGATGCAGCCACAGGAGGAGCTCGTCTTGCAGCAGGTACCTAAGGGCTGGCAGGGATCTGGGCACCAGGGGTGCTGGGCACAGCACCAGCCTGGAGCAGCCCTCACTTCACTGGCCATGGGAGTGTGGCTGCTCAGCCAACTCAGTGGCATCAATGTCCTCTCCAAACCCGTGCCTGGGGTGGGGAGGGGCCTGCGTGGAGCCATCAGGACTCATCACCCCTGCCTGCATTGCTGGCTGGCTGCCAGCTCCTTGGTTCTGGAGGGCCCAAAACCCCGCTGGGCAAACGTCCTCCCGTGAGAGGAGGGGATGGTAGTGAAGGGGGCATGACTGGGGGGCACCTGTGGGCCTGCACGAGGGCTTCCTGGGCCCACCTCGCTGCCCCTCAGCCAGCAGCTCCGGCCTGCTCCTGTTGCTCCGCGCTGCCATTAGGGTGGAGGGCTCTGTTGAGGATTCCTAGATGTTAAGGCCTGAAGGACACAGCAGGAGCTAAGGCTGCCCGACACCCCCATCACAAACCCCTGTGTCTCCAGAGAAGACTCGGAATAGTGTGCAGGAAACGAGGCTGGGGCCACACAGTGAGGAGAAATCCAAGTGCTGGCTGGCTGCTCCTTCAGTGAGCACTGCCCACAGCGGGCACTGCAGGGCCAGGGGCTCTGGAAACCTGCTCTGCGATCGTGTCGTTAACGACTGTGGCTAAGGCCCCTGCGCCAGGACTGGATGAGGGTCGCATGGGCAGCCTGAATTCTGGCATTTCTGAGCTTTGCAGCCCGAACATTTGCTTAGCAGAGTCTCCTTGTGTGTCATTTCTGTACGAAAGGGGCCTGTATTGGGATGGCTTATTCCCCTTCCCATATGGGGTTGCCTATGCCACCATAAAGTACCTTTATACCCCTGCCACCCCAGGGTTTGCAGCACCTTTATTAGGCCAGCAAGAGTTCAGGGGTCCCCTACTGTACTGCCAAAGTAACCTGTGCAGGAGACCGGGCACTGTGGGTCCCCTGCCACCGGCCCTTTCCCCTAAGCTCAGTGGGTGGGTGGGGTAATGCCATGCAGAGCCACAAGAGGGCATCAGACACTGTGACTTGGCCAAGGCCCAGGCAGCAGTGCCTTGGTCCGTTGTGGAAGCTCTGGACTAGCCCTGGGTTGGGTTGGGAACAGCCCAGAGAGAACAGGCCCATTGCATAGTGAGCAGATCCTGATGTTCAGTGCAGAGATCCCCTCCCCCACACCCGCTGTCAGGTCTGGCATTGAAGAGCTGCCGAGATGCTGTGGGGAGCCACTGGCCCCGCTTGCTGCCGCACAGACTAGCCCTGGGGGTTGTTAGCACAGCCTCTGCACTCAGCTCACTGACAGACGTGGTCTTCCCCGGCCTAGAGAGTGGCATGTGCACCTGGGCCCTCTGCAGAGTCCCCCAGACCATCCCTGGCCCAGGGCACCACACTCATCTGTCACACCCTCTCCCCAGCAGGCCTACCTGTGGGAGCATCACCAGCGCCTGCAGCACTCGCTCCTCAAGCGGCAGCCACCAGCCGACACCCTGATGGTCCCTGCCACACACGGAGGGCACCGGCCTCTCTCCAGGGCCCAGTCATCTCCTGCCACTGCTACCATCGCCCTTCCTGCCCAGGACGCACCCGCCAAGGCACTCTCCCTGCCGGCGCAAGAGCCACCAGCCAAACCGCAGTTCACAACAGGTAATGTTGGCTGCCTCCAGCAGGGGGCGCTCCAGTAGGGCTGCAGGTATGTCACGGATACACAGGATTGGTGCTATGGCCCCGGCTTTGGAACGGTCTCTAGGAGGAACCCCTTCAGTGCCAGACTCCCTAGGGGTCTTGCTCTTCCTCCAGCACAAGCCACGGGGCTTCACCGCTTCCTTAGAATGGACCTCTGGGCCTGCAACACTCCTGCTTCACACCGTGAGCTCCGTTCAGTGAGTCCAACTGAGACAGACCCTGATGGAGACTTGTGCGCTCGTTAGGGCCTAATGCACTTCACACCATTAGCAGTGACACTCAGACAGCATTGTCAAAGTGGGAAGGTTTATTCATTAACTGGAACACAGCACAGGAAGTCCTTAGGGTAGCTTCCTGCAGAGAGGTGGGGCAATCTGTGGTTGTTGGTTGTCAGGTGCCAATGTCCTGGTGATAAGATTTGCCATTGTCTTCTTCTTCTATGGGGCCTAAGGCCCAGACAGCTAGAGGACACTCACATCTTTGTCCCTTAGCCTGCGCTGAGAGAAAACAGTTTTTTTCCACCCACTGGGTAACAATGCAGTATATAGGGGAAACTGAGGCACACAGTATTCAAAAGTGTCACATCTTCCCACTTCCTCACATGGTAATTAAACCCCACAGCAGCAGATGCCCTCCCCTCTCTCTGCCTCAGTTTACCTGGCATGTCATTTGCCCAAGGTCACATGCAGGTCAAAGTCAGGACTAAAACCCAGGAGTCGTGACTCCCATTCCTCTGCTCTAAGCACCACACCACTCAGCCTCACTGCACCAGTCACACTCTGTCCCTAGGAAAGCCGGATAAACCCTGCATGCCTCTGCCCACACGGTGCCAGCCCTAAACTGCCCTGATGGCAACAGGGCCTGGGGAGCCAGCCTGTGCCAGGCCAGTCTCCTGCTGCATCTATCGCCCCCTCCCTAAAAGTGTACATAGGCTGGGGGTGGCAGGGTATAGCTTGTGTCCATTGGAAGACACTGTCCTTACAGCTCGGTCATCTCCCCCAGCCTGCCGGGGTGGGTCTCTAGGCACGTTTCCCCCCTCAGTATGTTCCTGAGCCCCAGGACTGGAGAGGAGACAGGCAGGCACCGGAGGAACTGGTGGGGCTCAAAGGAGCACGGGCCCACAGTGCTTTTCAGAGCCCAAGCTCTTCCAAGGGAGCATGAAGCGCCAAGCCTGAGCCCTCAGGATCCCAGCCTGTCCAGCCTGGCTTCCCCATTGTGTCATTCGCCCCCTGGGTGTGTCCAGCTCATGCCCTCCAGCAAAGAGGCCCAGTGCTTCACCCAACGGCCAGCTGAGATGGGTGGCTGGGCTGGAGTGCAAGGACCAGGGTCTCCTCCGCTGCCGGCCTGAGGCAGGAGTAGGATTCGGCTCAGGCCTCCTTGGATGGGGAGGTGTCCAGGGAGACTCTGGTCTGAGGGCCATGCCGTAACAGCAGAGACTGAGGTAGCTGTAGGGTCTCATCCTCGCCCCCAGCCCAGCCTTTGAAGAGGGACTGGGCTTTGGGTCCCCAAGGATCAGCTTCCAAACAAGGCTCAGAGCCGGGTGCCGGGGGGGGGGGGGGGAGTGCCCCTGTGGGGTTGGGGGAGTGAGTGCCCCTGGGGCTGGAGGCGAGGGGTGGTGAGTGCCCCCGTGAGGTTTGGGGGGTGGAGTTCTCCTAGGGTGGGGTGTGTGCGTGGAGTGCCCCCATGGGGTTGTGGGGCGGGGGGTGGGTGGGGGTGAGTGCTTCCGTGGGGTTGGGGGGGTGAGTGCCCCTGTGGAGCTGGGGCGGGGGGAGTGCCCCCGTGGGGTTGGAGGGTGAGCACTTGTGGGGCTTGGGGGGGTGAGTGCCCCTGTGGGGTTGGGGGGAGGGTAGGAGTGATTGTGTACAGTGGTGTGTGCTGTATTCACTGATTTTCGGAGGTATAAGGGCACCAGTGCCCAGCCGCTTGGCTCATGTTGACACTGACCCCCTCACTGGTCCATCCCGCCCAGACCTCCCGGGGCAGTGGGGTCTAGAGCCAGCCCCCTGCCCCGAAGGGCTCTCGGCTGGGCTCCCCGATTGGGCTGGTGTGTGGGAAGAGACGTCTCTGGGACCCAGCCACACAGGCCTGCCCCGGGATTGCCCCCTCCATGTGACAGCAGACAGGGCAGTGTGAGGAGCCGGGGCGACAGCCTGCAGCTAGGAGGCAGGCGTGTCGTAGGGGAGCTCCACGCTGGGCCCTGTGCAGCAACCCAGTCCTGGGGGCCATCACGCTTGGTCATGGACTCCCATTCAGACACGGCCAGGAGGGAGCCTGTGCAGATGGTCAGGTGCCCAGGAGAGAGCAGCAGCCTGGGCTGTGAATGCAGCAGCATCGTGGAGCTGAGCCCGGCACTGCACCAGGGTGACAGAGATCATAGCAGGGCGGGTGTCCCCTAACACCCCCACCTGCTGTTGTGTTTCAGGGCTCGTGTATGACTCCGTGATGCTCAAACACCAGTGCTCCTGCGGGGACAACAGCAACCACCCTGAGCATGCTGGGAGAATTCAGAGCATCTGGTCCCGCCTGCAAGAGCGGGGTCTGCGCAGCCAGTGTGAGGTAAGTGAGAGTGTGGGCTGAGCTTGTCCTGCCAAAGCTGAGGGAGGCCTCAGACAGGATGGGCAGCTTACATCAGGAAGGCCCAGGTGGTCTCTGTGCAGAGGCGGGGGCTCTGGGTCTGCCCCAGAGGAGCCAAGACTCACAACAATCATGAGTCCTGCCTGCCTTTGTAAGAGGAAATTGCAAGGGGTTTCACTCCTTTCTGGTGAGCAAAGCATGAAACACTCGGATCAAGTTCTCCAAGCGCGGGTCAGTGCCCACTGATATCCAGGAGAGAGACATGGATGCTTCCCAATCACGCACGCTGCCCACAAAGCTCCTGGCTCTGCTTCTCTCCTCTGGCTCCTGGCCCTGTTCCATCCCTCTGGTCCTGCTGACCCTCCTCCTTCCCCATGCTTTGCACAGCTGGGACCTAGCGGAGAGCATGGACCTTACGTATCATCACAGGTATCTGTGTTAGCCCCTGCTGAGGTGGTTCCCCCGTCTCAGACCCTGCAAACTCAAGCCTTGTCCATGTACAGCCTTAGAAAGCTTGCAGCAGGTCTGGGCTGCACTACGTGGTTAGGTCAACGTAAGCTGCCTGGCGCCGACCTACCTATGGACGTGTTTTCACTTAAATTTGGCTCCCGCCAACATGAGGGCCCCTCTTCACCACCTTAGTAACACCCCCTCCCCGAGCGGCGCAGTCACAGTCGATGTCATTAGGTCGACGCAGGGTCGGTGTAGACCAGGGATAGGCAACCTTTCAGAAGTGGTGTGCCGAGTCTTCATTTATTCACTTTAATTTAAGGTTTCGCGTGCCGGTAATACATGTTAACGTTTTTCAGAAGGTCTCTCTCTATAAGTCTATATTATATAACTAAACTATTGTTGTATGTAAAGTAAACAAGGTTTTCAAAATGTTTAAGAAGCTTCCTTTAAAATTAAATTAAAATGCTGATCTTACGCCGCCAGCCTGCTCAGCCCGCTTCCAGCCTGGGGTTCTGTTCACCTAGGCCTGCAGCGGGCTGAGCAGGGCGACTCAAGGTCAGGGCAGAGGGCTGGGGGTGTGTGTGGAGGTGCAGGGCAGAAGGCTG